GAGCAGAGCCACGCCGCTGACGATAGAGCAAACGACAAGAGTCTCGTTGAATGCATCTGTATACGTTTGGCGAACGGCGAAGGCCGCGTCTGGCGAAAGAGTACGCATGGAATCGGCAAGTGATCCCAATTGCGCAACGCTAACCACCATCGGGTCTAGAAGCTGCCGACGCTGTTTTACACCTAAGATAGCTGTTGATGCAGCGATACCGATACTTCCCCCTAGCACACGCACCTGAGCCATGATGCCTTGCGCGACCGCTGTATCGCGCTGCTCGGCTTCAATGGTTGCGAGTAAAGTTGAATTACTGACAGTCAGGCCGAAACCAAAGCCGAGGAAGACTTGCAGCCCATAGGCTCGAGCTTGCGGAACCACAGTATTGTCTAATGTAGACAGAGATGCAGCTCCAACTAGCATAAGAGCAGCACCAATGACGTTGACCGGGAAGGTGTTGTTTCTTTTACTGGAAGCCGCACCAGCAATAGTCGTTCCGATAGCAGAAGCACCAAGCATTGGTAGTAGAGCTATGCCCGACACAATAGCACTTTTTCCGTTGACCACCTGGAACCGTGTCGGCAGCGAGTATATGATGAAGAAATATGGGAAGCCTGTCAGCATCGTCGTGACCACTGCTGATATGTAGACTCTGTTCTTAGCTAGTCGCATTGGGAAGAGCGCACCTATAGTGTCAGGCCAGCGCCTTGCAACGAACCACTCCCAGGCCAAGAGCGCGACGAAGCACAGGACACCGACGACGAGTGGAGCAACGAAAAGTGCAGACGACCAGACGGCGCTATCCAAGAGAATGTGGATACCAGCTTGCTGGAAAGCAATTACCGAAGGTACGGAAGAAGCAACCAAGAGAAGGAAACCTAAGATATCGATCTGCTTGAAACTGCGGCGCTGGAAACCTCGGACCCGAGCGTTTTCGGACCACGCTCCAATGAAAAGGATAAGCGGGATGATGCCAACGGGAGCATTCACCCAGAAGACCCAGCGCCAAGACGTATAGTTCGTTATGACACCGCCTAGAACTGGCCCCAGAATGCCAGACATCGCAATGATGGCTCCTGCCAGAGCACCGATCATCTTGGACATACGTGGCGATGCAATCTCAGTGAGAATTACGAAGCCCACTGAGTACAAGCCTGAACCGCCTACTCCCTGTAGGGCTCGCATGGCTATGAGCTGGTCGAGACTTTGAGCGAAGCCACATCCGAGTGAGAAAGCGAGGAAGATTACAAATGCAGCGACGTAGGCGTTGCGACGACCGATCACGTCGGAGAGGCTTGCAAAGATGGCAGTGCAGCCAACGTAGGCAAGTGTGTACTAGATGTGGGTATACAATGTCATTACATATCTCACTTATAGTTTGTATGGGCGCACTTACTGACAACGCAATCCAATTGACCTTGGATAATGAGTGGAATTCTACACCAATTGTGTAGATGGCAGTTGCGATGATTGATGTGTCCAAGAACGATAAGAAGAGCCCAATACATATACTAGATGATAGGTCGTCAGATAAAGGCTATCAAAGCCAGCTTTAACAACTTTACCTGCCATATAACGACACAAGTCTCCATGTCGCGATACCAGGCGCTGGAGCAGGTCCTGCTGCGATGGTATCGGGACCAGCATTTATCCGAGTCTGCTCATCGTGGGCAACATCGATGTTGACTGGAGCCAGGATCGTCCGGGCACTGGTAGCTTTTTCGATATCCATGTTTGAGTTTTATATGCGGCTTTAGGTAGTCGTGTGGACTAAAAGTGATTTGCCAGCACAATTCTCACTGTAAGTACAGCCTCCGGACCAGATACCAGTGTGAACGGGATCCGGACGTAAAATCTAACAATCTCGCAGCTTTTAGGCTGTGATTCCGCTTCGTACGATATTTTTTGTTTTTTTATTGCGGCGTGGTAGTGAGATGATTCTGTACAACGTCGCCGCAATCGATGTGCCGACTGTGGATTGCATGAACCGCTCCTACGGCCGTACCTGAGTTTAAAAAAGAAATTGTGTTGCTGGGAAATCTCAGCCTCACTGGAAGTCTAACCGGGCGTACGCCTTGCGTCCAACGCTATCAACATGTGTCGCTTACTAGCTTCTCCAGCGTCGCACAGCTTCTTCGTTAGCAACCTTGGGAGTTCATCAGCGCGCTAGTGTGTCCGGGTGGTCAGACAGGTGAGACATCTGCTTTTTTGGGTTGGGTTGATGCGGGCCACTCTCTGTTTTCCCAGACGAGTCTTCTTGCGGGGTAACAATGATGCTGATTTGTTGGTCGGTATGCGAAAACATATCCAATATGCGGAGTGCGCAGACTAGCACCCAATAAGCTACTACTTCTCCGAGGCCTAAACGTTCCGAGATATTGTATGTTGGAGCCGTTAACAATCTTTTTCTCGCCTCCATTTCAGATATGGTATTAATTCCTTATCCGTCGGTACAACTCTTTTCCATTCAGGCTCGGTACCATCGGTAGGTTCGATACCCCTCAATCTGTCGCGATAGAAAATGCGATAGCTATCGAGTGCATAGGCGCCCATACCCGGCAGATGCGCAATCTCCCAGCCTTCTCTTTCATCATCAGGCCCTAGAATCTCTCCTGGCTTAACATCGGCACCACAACCATGATTGGGGTAATGTAACCTCCTGTACCTTCGTTCTTTGCACGGAGGAGCCGAGAGCCAGGTTTTCGCTAGTGCTATAAGGCGAGCCGCTCGAATTCGATGGAGGCCAATCGGCTGTAGCATTGTGGTTAAGTCTTCGAGAGATGCGGCGGACAGCTCATTTGGCGAAGGGTAGGCTGCGAGTATCTTGAAAAGAACTGGGCGTGCCATTTGGCCACGCGTTTGGTTCCATAGGATCACTTGGACTACTAATGCGTACAGGCTGTCGCATACCCGCTCCTGGATGAGGCCATATTTTGCAGGCTGAAGCTGGAAAGGAAGGTCTGGTGGTTCTGGTATCACCGCTGGGTGGTCTTCGGTATCTATCCGGGTAGATGTCCTCGTTGGAGTTTTGCGCGCTTTAGGCGCGACTTTAGTCTTTCGCTTCTCTTGCGGAGCATTGGAAGCTACTCGACGGCTTCGCAAGGTGACTGGCATGATCAGGTATTAAATTCAACCGTCAGATAGATATTATTGATCAAACTCATACGCGCGTCTCGAACAGCGCATCGCTCTGGCGGCCAAAGACCTATATGGAAAGCTTGCAGCCGGTTTCATGACGCTAATGGGAAGTCGATGATGTAACGCGTTATTGAGCCGCGCCATCAAGCCAACCCCCCTATCTGGTTAGGACTCTAGGGCATGCTTTTGGAACGGGTGTTTCGAATGAGTCGAGATGTACTGTGGAAAGTGAAACGCAGCTTCGCAACCAAAAGTGAGAGTGCTCTGACATAATCTTCATTGTTCGATACCGCCCCACCCATTTCCGACCCACTCGGCAAGAGCCCGGCACCACATCGGGATCCGGCAACAGTCTTACAAACCTCTATTCAATGCCGCACTCCATAACTCTAACAACAGACAAACATGTCCTTCGACTTGGATGATGACGAAACGCTTATATCGATATCGCGCACCGATAGATATGAAGGCGAAGACACGAGTCATACTACCGACCGCGAATTGAAAGCTTGGTATGCTTATCCAATCGCAGCCGAAGTCTTCGCTGTAGTCGCAGTGGTACGTCATAGTCCTCTCCTTCACCAAACACGAACACACCTCCTTTGTTAGGATATCTTGCTCAAAGTACTAGGGTGCGTTTCTCCCAGTGATTCTCGAGCAATTAGCCAGAGAAAATGGCGTTTTCTTCTCCGATCATTCAACACCGTGTGTTGATCATTCCGCTTCCGGAAGACTCCGGATACGCGAAAATGCAGGCCAGAAGGCCGAAGGAGGAGACTCTGAGCAATGCATGGTGAGATATCTTGGGAGAGACATGTCAACGAGCAGTTTTGCGATGTACACCTTCTCTACCGCTGTATTACTTCAAGCGGTGGTCTTGATATGTTTTAGTTCCTTCGCTGATCATGGTAAACATTAGCACACAGTGTCCATTGATTCGATAATCACTAACAAGATCGCTAGGCCCGTACCGCAAGAAGATGCTCGTGTTCACATCATACATGGGCGCACTAGCAAGTTGTCTCTTCATTTTCATCTCGCCATCACTATATTACTTGGCTCCAATCCTAGTAATCGTTGGCGTTTCAAGTTTAGGCTGTTCATTCGTGTTGCTAAACGCATTCCTGCCGCTACTCGTCGCCAACCATCCAGATAACAACACGTCGGGAAAATCATTCACATCTGATTCAGCGTCAGACGTCGAGCTGGAGTCCCTGAATGCCACCAGTGGACCTCCTTCGTCTGCACACCACCACTTGGACCCAAATCGATTGAAGCGGGATTTAGAGCGAAGTGCACAAATATCAAGTAAAGGCGTGGGGTATGGCTACATGTCCGCTGTCTTCGTACAGGTTTTGGCTATCTTGATAATCTATCTCTTCAGCAAAACCAGCCTTTCGAAAACCTCGCCTAGTCTCTCCATTCGAGTTATCCTATTCATGGTCGGCCTATGGTGGGCCATTTTCTCCATTCCAACATTATTGTGGCTACGCCCGAGACCAGGTCCACCGCTGCCCACCCAGAGTAACCAGAGCTTTTCCGGAGGGAAGTCGTCGAGATTGCGCACGTTCTTGTTCTACACGTCCTTTTCTTTGCGTAGCTTCTGGGGAACACTCAGGAGAGCGATAAGACTACGACAGACATTGCTCTTTCTGATATCGTGGTTCCTGCTATCAGATGCAGTAGCAACAATATCTGGAACTGCGGTCCTCTTCGCACGCACAGAGTTGCATATGGGCACAATTGCCATCGCTTTATTGTCCATAACGTCCATCGGATCCGGCATCATAGGCGCATTCGCATGGCCGCATGTACAGAGGCGCTATGGATTACAGCCAAAGACGGTACTGCTGTGTTGTGTAGCGGGCATGGAAGTTATCCCATTATACGGATTACTCGGATTTATCCCTCTGTTCAAGAGCTTGGGGTTTATTGGTTTGCAGAAAGCATGGGAGATTTACCCAATCGCCATTATTCATGGAATTGTCATGGGTGGTATATCATCGTATGCGCGATCTGTATATGCTCCATTGATTCCAGAAGGCAGTGAGGCCGCGTTCTTTGCATTATATGCTGTTACAGACAAGGGTAGCAGTGCTTTCGGTCCAGCTCTCGTAGGTTGGATTGTCGACCAGGCGGGTACGATACGCCCTGCCTTCATCTTCCTGGCTGTATTGGTAGTGCTACCAGCACCACTTTTGTGGCGATTGGACGTCGAGAAGGGGAGGGAAGACGCGCGTGCCATGGCAGACGGAGATGTTAAAGGACGGGGGATGTATGAGAGGGTTCGTGAAGAATAATGGACCGACAATCGGAGTCGGTGGGTATGATATTGATAGTACGCCACCCAATGCTGTAAACGCCAAATGATGATATCCCTCAAGCCCGTTCTTCCATCTTCGGTCGCTTGCTGTCCCGATCGTGGTCATCTCCGAATCTCTTCCTCTCACCAAGCGGTTTTGCGTTTGCACCTGAAGGACCCTCCCTATCCCGGTCTCTCCCGCCATGAGCATCAGGCCTGAATCTCTCATCCACGCCGAAGTCGCCCTTGTCTCTTCGCGGCCGGTCATCACCAAAGTCACCCCATTTGCCTGTATCCTCAGTCTTCATGTCCCTGTACCTTGTCCGACCCTTTTTGCCTAGTTTTGTCATGTCCCTGATCTGCATGTACTCAGGCAGGATCTCTCGATTTGTCTCATCCTCGAAGCGCGCATTCATCAGATTCCGTCGATCTACTCCCAGTTCCTTTAGCTCATCTGTAAAGAAAGCACCCTTGTGAAAGTACTTTTGCATATACTGCATCTGCCCGCGATCGCCCTTTTCTTCTTGTTGTTTCTCGATATGAGCGCGGTCTTCGGCTTCGCGTTCGGCGGCGGAGAGGTTGCGACGGCGCTCGATCTCTGCACGCTCAGCTTCGGCTTCTTCGATCGCGAGGCGTTCGCGTTTGATGCGCTTGAGTTCGCGAAGTTTCCAGGCGGCATACTCGGCATCGGGATCAACACCGTCAGTGTCGTCAATGGCGTTGATGTCGGCCTCTTCGACGTCGTCGTCCCAGTCTTTCTTGCCCGCTGCCTTCTCTGCTATGCGCTGCTCAACCTGCTCTTGTACCAGCGCTCTGTTCTGCTCCTGTCGCCGTGCCTCCTCTTCTGCTGCTATGTCCTCTGCTGATTTGACAGGCGCCACTTTGTTCCGTTCGTTCTTCTTGAGAAACACTGGTCGCAGCAGTTTCTTCGGTGCTTCGTCCTCGCTACTTGACTCTTCCTCAGATGATTCGTCATCACTGCCGCTACCACTCTCGCTCCCGCTGCCATCCTCTTCCTCTTCTTCCTCGCTTTCTGTCTCGAACTCATCTTCTATCGCCTTGCGCTCCGCCTCAGATTTTTGTCGCGATGCAAGTTTGGATTTGAGCGCTGATTTAGGAAACGACGATGCGATTGGCGCGGGCTTTGGCTTTGCAAATGGTTTTGGCTTTGGCTGCTCCTCTTCCGATTCTGATTCCGAGCTCGACCGTTCTTCGGGTTCAGGTGCTGCTGTTGGCTTGCCAGCGAATTGGCGCGTTCGCACGGGCTGCGCCGTGAGTTTCTTAGATTTTGGTGGTGGCATCGTGGCGACTTTCAGGATAGTTGGCGTACAAAGAAAGTGTGCAAAGTTGAGTGAACCGCGAACGCGATACCGCGGCTCCTGCAAGCGGCTTGGCGCGCGTCAGGCCTGCTGTACGAGAGACCTCGTATTGTGTGCGTAAAGACTGCCCGGCTAAGTTACACGCAATCACCATATAGAATTGAAGACTAATCGCCGCAAATCCTGTTACAAAGTCTTAGTTTCTTGTCCTGATACGCAGAGGAAGGATTGTAACCACTTTTGGTCGCCACGCTCACGATATCTACAAACACAAGCACAGAATTGCCTGCGTATGTAGCCAAATGCAAGAAGATCATGCTCAAGCCAAAATTTTGGTAAAGCTGCTCACTCAGTATCTCACATAGCAAACGTCTCCTGTCGACTGCCCTGGAAGAGGATTGTGACAGCTACGATATCAAACCTCATGACAAGGGAAAGTAGGAAGGTTATGAGTAATAAATCCTACGTAATTAGAACATTACAATTCTATCTCAATTTACTGAATTCAGCAGTTTGTAGCAAAACTCGTTTGGCATATCTAGGCGCATATTACTCAATGAGAACAACATGCTCATTCATTATGAGACTGGCCGCCACCGTTTCGAGTATTATGTACTGTTGAGCCAGAGATAAAATTATGAATTACAGAGTCAAGCAGGATCTAGATAGGAAGAACAGCCAAGACCGAAGTCAGAGTTTTCACGCTGGAAGGGTTGTCTGCATACATGCCAGGCGACTGCACTTACTGGACGTTGCCTAAAGTTGTGAGATGAGCTGAGTCAATTCGTCATACATGTACAGTCAAACCAATGCTTTAAATTCGTTGTACTTGAGTTTTTGATTATTCACTCCTTTAGGGTTTTTGTTATCCTGGATTGAGGGTGCTTATCACAGGGTGATTGATTTCCAATGACTTAAGCACAGGCATTCTCGCCGTCCTTAAAACGCCCGTCGTATCAGAGCCGGTCTTAGGAAGACCTAAATATGTCGACCAGGCACACAACTATATATACAATAACGCCTGTTGATGCAGTGACAGTATAAGGAAAGTGATGATCAAATCTATTGACCAATGAAATGCCGACTGAAAGTACCACCCAATGCAATGCACGCTCGAACGCAGCAAATATCGTGTCCTTTGGACTAAATGATGGGCGATCAAAGCAAGCCCGGAAAGTTCGTAAAGTTGTTACATGAAAGTAAGCGATACCCGTTCATCGGAAGATGGGTTGTTGAGGAACAGGTAGTTGGTTAAACTGATTAGTCTCAGGCCATGCACTACGGTCCATGTACGGCAGAAGCCCAGAGCGACGATCAGTCATTGGTCGACCCAAAGGCTGGTATTGCATCTGATCGTATCCGATGTTCCTCGCTGGATTATGGATCGACGTCGAAGGTGGGGGTACGAGTAGAGTCTGCACGCTGCGGACCGGTCGATAAGGAGACTGGCGTTGATTTAGGAAATGCGACGGAGATAATTGTCTCGAACCAGTTGCGGGATAGTTTCCAACAGGTGAAGAACCAGCTGACTGGGGATATGGACTGATCTGTCGGGACTGGTCGGTAGAAGGCGTGTAGTTGTGAGGGTAGGAGGGTGGGCCCGATGAAGTTGGTGTGCTAGTCGGTTGCTGCCATTGGACGGGTGGAGGGTAAACCATGGCCATGGATCGTCCACCAGGGACCGGCAAAGGAAGATCTGACCAGTTCTTCAACTGGGTAGGTGGCATCTGCTGAGGTGGAGGTATCGAAAGACTTGGCAAAGGAGGTAGTCGGTTCACGGATGGTGGTGGCTCGAATGACCTATTGATAGGCGTCTGCAACGTCGGGATCAAAGGTGCATTACTGTAAGGACCAGGTGCAAATCCATGGGCCTGTCGCTTCATTGGAGGCTCAATGCTGTAATCAGCACTGCGTTTACGTTGAATGGGGCCTAATTCTGGCAGAGCGCCAATCGGAGAGACGGTGGCGGACGTGGCCTGCGGTTGCAAAAGCGGGGTATTCGAAAATGCCATGTGGTTCGGCGAGTACATCATCGAAGTTGGTGGTGACGTTTGCTGTTGAGTAGGCGGTGACGGAGCGTAGGTTTGTGGTAGGCCGAGCATGTTCTGGGGGCCAACTGGGCTTACAGCACCCGACGCTGGAATCTTTGATGCTCGATCAAAGAATGTACCAAATTTGCCCAGGATGCCGTGCCACTCATTCCACTTCTCCTTGGACGTGAACAGGCTGTATCGCATGTTGCTAAGAAATTCGACCTCCATGATGTGCACCTCCTGCACCGAGATACCCGAGACCTCGGCCCATGTCTTATTGGTGTAGGTGTTGTCATCGAGAAATTTGTTGCCCAGCATAAGAGCTACAGTCAGTAATCGATACTCGCTACCGGGCTTCCCCTTGACCGTGGGGTTGGTCAGCTTCAGCCTGTATATGAAAAGTAATGCCAAAAGAATGACATTTTGAGCAACCTGCGTAGTGGTCAAGATAGTTGCTACCCATTTTCTGAATCCAGTTGTGGGATGTGCGTCAGGAACGAGAGGCTGCATAGGCTGGCGTGGCGAGGCGGTCTCGAGTACTTGCTTCAGAGTTGTCGAGCTCTCGAACCAGAAGAGACATGTCACCTGGCGAGTCAGTTTCAGAATCAAGGGTGGGAGGATGTCAAATTACCTCTGCTGCCAGTTGAGGGAGACCCTCTTGTGGCGTGCTGATGGTTGGTGGTATCTTCAGGTTTGGCGATATAGTGTACTTCTTTCTCGGTGTCTGGGCCATCTCTTGTGCTTGCGGTGCTTGTCTTGGTGGACTAGGACTTCTTGCAGCAGCCACTGATCTGGAGTTGCCAATAGCAGGCAGCTGGTAGCCGTACTGATGCCCGGCACCCTGGTTTGGTGGAAGTGAGACCACCCTTACTGCTGAGCCCGGGAGGTCCGGGGGTGTGAGGGGAGCTCTTGGGGCTGTTCGCAGCGGGTCGTGCTCATAGTTGTTGGAGATGCTCGGGTAGGGAAGGTGCATCGTGGAGTCGAGCTTCGAGGAGCTGCGAGGTGCCGTGGCATACAGGTTGAAGGGAGGCTCCCGCGGCAGGGCGTGAGGCATTGGGTGAGGGAGCTGTAGCTCGAGCATATGGACGGCAAGAGACCAGGTGGAGAGGGCGAGGTGAGTGATGAAAACGGCGGCGACGTCAACGGCAACAGGCGATCATGTCCGGGCAGCTATTGTTTGCACGCTACTATTTTGCCTCAACCTTGGTCTGGAAGGATGGTGTTGACAATGGCCAACTATGGATGGGGAGCAGGAGCAGGAAGGACTAGGCCAATCAACGCCAGGCAGAATCCGGTGCACGGCAACGACGCTTGTAACTAGGCTTGTAGGAGGTGAGGGTTTGGCAAAGGAGGGTGCAGAGGGACACAATAAAGAGACGTCAGGCCCGGTGAGCGTCCTTTGCGGATGGTGCTATGCCGGGAGCGGCTTGGTATTGGGTGTGGGTAGTGGTGGTGGTGGTAGTGGTGAGTGATTGATTGTGACTGTAGGGAGGCGGATTGTCGGGGGCCCGCACGCTGGCATGGCAGACATGGCTTGGGGCCGTTGGATTTGAATAAAACATAGGTAATTCACACACACGGAGTCGTGAAGGCTCGGAAGGTTCCAGGCAGGAGCGAGCAGGGTAGGAGGAACGCCCCAAGAGGCTGATCCAGGACCCAGAAGGAGAAGCCGCGCTCTGACATCAACCGCGCCTGGAAGGAGCTAGGGGCGCACGGCCACCAGCACAAAGCAACCGCGACCGGGGGTTCGCCGCGAGGACAGGAGCGACCGACGCTGCTAGCAGCCAAGCCGCGCGGGCTAATTACATACTACTACAACAAGTACAGCACGAGCAACGTGAATAATCAATCCCTGCGCCAAACCACCCCAGCACCAGCTGCGCCGCGCGATACAGCCTCAGCGCTCCCGACCCGTCTGATTGGCGCCCCCTCATTCGCAGGCGATGCATAGTGCGCGTCCAGAGGGGCTTCAGCCATCTTCCACCCCACCACACACGACCTTCCCAGTGCGCACTGCGACAGTGGGACACCATCCGGCCACAAACGAAGAAACGATAGCGCTGGTGGGCCTCATCAACGACCTGCAGCCTACATGGTAGGCCTGCTGCCTCCCCGGAGCGCTGCCGTCTCAGACACGACGACTGATCAGAGAATGTGAGATCCCTTACGCATCGCGGCCACCTGCACCCGCCAAGGCGGAGCATACACCACGAATGAAGGCCGCTGTCTGCCACATCCAAACTTTGCCAGCAGCAGGAATTGCCGTAAGCGGCAGCCATCCATGAATAGTCGCTATCCTAATCACCCTTCACCAGCGCCAGGCGGTCTGGAAGGGCACTTTACGCGTGCAGCGTCCCGCCCATGCCGTGTTTGACCAGCTGCTGCCAGCTTGCCGCCCTCAGGCATCTAAAAAGCACACCGGCACGCTGATGCAAGCGCAAGCATAGCGAACTGGCGAGACTGGCAGACGACGGCGCTGTGCTGCCAGACGAGGAAGCGACACGAACCAGTCGCCCAGCCAGCCCGCCCTAGCCAAATCGCCGTCTTACCTTTCCCTAAGCATGCTCTACATCCGAGACCGAACCCTGTCCTCCGCGAAGCTTCCCATGCTGAAGTTTGAGCGAGTGCTGCTGATCTTCAATCCTCTTTTTTTTTTTGCAGATGATTTTGCTTCGTGACTTCCAATCATGTGGAGCTCGACCGCTGCAGCCCTCGGTTCCGATGCTTCCGGCGAATGGCAAGTATGATGCGCCCCCCGACGCTAGACGAACTGTTGTTATTGAGGCCGGCCATGTGTTGCGTGCAATCCAAGTTGAGGCAATCTGCACTGCAGAACCGCCATTTTGCAACGCCCCTGACGAAACACGAATCGGGCTATTGCGCGCGCCTCAGTTGCTGCATTCTGCATTCCATCACGCTGCCCATCAATCAGGCTGGCCATAGCTGCTG